ACGGCTGACGTGGCGGGAGTCCCGCCCGAGCACACCCACGTCCGGACACAGCCCCCACGGCTGACGTGACGGGAGTCCGGCCCGAGCACACCCACGCCCCGACACAGCCCCCACGGCTGACGTGGCGGGAGTCCCGCCCGAGCACACCCACGCCCGGACACCGTCCTCACGGCTGACGTAGCGGGAGTCCCGCCCGAGCACACCCACGTCCGGACACAGCCCCCACGGCTGACGTGGCGGGGGTCCGGCCCGAGCAGACCCACGCCCGGACACCGTCCTCACGGCTGACGTGGCGGGAGTCCCGCCCGAGCACACCCACGCCCCGACACAGTCCTCACGGCTGACATGGCGGGAGTCCGGCCCGAGCACACCCACGCCCGGACACCGTCCTCACGGCTGACGTGGCGGGAGTCCCGCCCGAGCACACCCACGCCCCGACACAGTCCTCACGGCTGACATGGCGGGAGTCCGGCCCGAGCACACCCACGCCCCGACACAGAGTCCCTGTGCGGGAACGGCTCGGCACAGGCGTGACCATGCCCCCTGCTTCCCGCAATATTAATCAGAACATCCCCCAAGCCATAATACGTTTAAAGTGGCTAAATATGATCGAAAGCACTTAAACATAACTTACGAAAGTGTGGATGGTGTGCCAGAAAACCTTTACGCTCACTTTAAGGGAAGATGGCCTGAACCAAATATATAATAAAGAATGGCACAAGTATGGCGCTGCGGCATACGTTGTGAGTATGCTATACTTATATATATATATATATATATATATATATATATATATATATACATCCTCAACTCGTGTTGATACGATGGAGTGCTAGAGATGAAATGGAAATGAAAAACTAGCATGAAAGGCTAATTCAAGAAGTTGAATGTGTACATTTCATCATATATATATATATATATATATATATATATATATATATATATATATATATATATATATATAGTGATTCATATGCAACAGTGAAAAGAGTTTTCATATGCATGGTGGGGCCTGCTTTCCTTGAAGTGAATGCAAACCACATCTTTCCGAAGCATGAAGTGTTTCTGAGATAGTGCTCAAATTTCCGTTCAGTTATGCCAAAGCTCTTTCGGCCTAATTAGTCACTTTAGAGCTATGAAATTAATTGGATGTATAGGGAGAGGGAGATGTGTATATCTATATGCATAAAGCTATATTGTAAGACAAAACAAAGGTCACAAAATCATTGCGGAGCAAACGCTAGATTTCCATCACGCAACGAATATACTGGATACATCTTTCGCGCTTTCAGTCCAGAATACGGAGCTTTGAATCTCATAACTTTGAAGCCTTGAGGTTTGAGCACCACCGAGCCGCACCTTCCTTCGAGCCCCGCAGCGGCTCGGTGACGACCTCAGCTCCGCGGGACAGCGTCTCCTCCCTTCAGCCGGGAGCCGACGGTGCTGACGTCAGCATGGCTTCGGGCGGCCATCTCTCCCGAGGCCGGCTCCGGCCCGGGGGCACGCCCCGGGTCACTAATCAAATGAAGGCCTCTCCGTGCGCGTTCCACGGACGCCGGCGCACGCTCGGTGCCAGCCGACCGTGGTAATCATGGTTTTACACGGGGCTGACTTCAGGGTCTGCCGGCGGTGCCCAGGGGCGGGTCTGAAAGACCGCGTTTCGTTGTGTTACGTCAGCACATGTGACCTTTGAAGGTATTTGCTAAGGCGGCACCACGCAAAAAGTGACCTCGCCGGACGCTTGCTGTGGATGCTGGTCCGAAGCTACAGCAGTGGCTGAAATTGGATAAAGGCATTTGTGTGAGATACAGATTTCTCGTCAGTCTGCACTTGAGACGAATCATTAAGACAGTAAATCACATTGGGTAGAGAGAGAATATGCGTCGGTTATATGTCACTTAGAGCCAACCTAATCTAATGTAGAATCCGCTACAAAACTGAACATCCAAATATGACATTAATGCGCATAGTCTGCTCACTCAAATGTATCGCTGCTCCATTTAACATCTTGTTTCGGCGCAAACGGAGCCCTGATCTGACGCTGACATCTCATCATCGACTCGTCAGCAGAGCAATTTATCAGAAATGCTGCGGATGTCGCAGCTCTGTTAATCCAAAGCCAGGCCCGTCACAATCGTATCGCCGAGGCCAGCGGCGTTCGACGCAACCGGCGCCGCAGCTCAGTCAGCTTTGAGGACGGTTGCCATGGTAACCGCATTGATGGGACTGTGCGTTGGGTCATGGAGACTGAAATGGTCCGAACACCCAACCCACGTGTAGAGGGAATGTTTCATATTTAAAGATATTGAAGGAAACATGAGATAAGATGAAACAAGCAGACTTATAAACATTTGTATACATTTAGGTCGAAAAGGCTGCTCCAGACAACACAATGTCCCTTTTACGTAAATGTGGTTCTTGATACATCGATGTTTGATTACGTCATCGCACCTAACACAATATTGATTGGGAGCCAATTGACGGCAGTTACATCTGGAATTTGCGCGCACTAATGCTAGATATGAGTGGTTCGACCATTACATTTTTCTTGGCCTTGATCGTCGTATGGCTTATGGAATGGCATAGTTTAATGGACGTTTTTATGACGTCATGAATACCAAAATGACCTTGAAATACTTCCCCGAAAAATTATTCATATTTCTACTGCGCGTACCTCAGATACTAGATAGCTTATGCCATAAAAACGGCAGGGCTGTGAATTGCGCCGAACGGTCTTCAAGATGGATATTTCAGTTCAAAACCTGGTACAAACGTGGAATACTCTCCTTAAGTACGGAATTCAAAATAAGCAGACAGCAAGAGAAGCCGTTCAAATATTTAGGCTGACCGGGCAAGTACGCCAGTGCCTTGCAAGCCCAACAAAGGCACTAAGTCCCCCATGACATTTATTAAGCGTGAGCAACTGCAAACCAATGTACCAAATGAATTACCGACGGCTCCCTTCAACTTGCGCAATATTGATTCACACACTCCTGAGGAATCAATTACTAAAAAAACGAATGCAGTGTGATTTAAGATGGTCTCAAAAGCATAGCGATGATACAGTCAGCAAAAAGAAAAGAAAGATGCCATCCCCTATGTCGCCTAGTGCAATTAGGTGGTAATCCGTGCATCTGTGATGTACTATGCGAAGGGCACTTTACATCTGGCCTCTGAAAACGAACATTTTTTGCATTTAGAAACAGAAGCTTACAGCTCTGTTGACGAGCGCCTGAAGCACCGGATATCTCGCTGTGGCAGTCACTGCATTTCTTCACTATATCTGTTTACACAATTAAGACAACGCCATTATAGCCCCGTGCCCAATGACCTATTTTTGCGCAAGGCTGTTCATCATTGTTACTATTTACCGAGTAAATACATGAAACGACTTGGAGCATCGCCCACCCTGCTGGAAATGGTGACCAAGGAAGCTTCCTTCGAGAAGGACTTGACCTGATGGTCTTCGGTCTGCAGTATGATGCCACAATTTCTCGATCATTCATCTACCTTCCTGACATGCTGCACACAGGTGCGGCGTAGGACAATGCAGTGATGAAGTGCCTTGGTATATAGCACGGATAGAATAGGATGGTGGAGTGAAAATACCTTGCTAACAGTTCACTTTTCGGAGCTCACATTGGCCTGATGTCGAATGTTAATAAGTTTTTTTCGAGATTTGCGGCCTTGCTCACTACGCAAGCTGTAAACTTGACCCCCAGAGCTAGATGCATTCATATCATGATTCAGATTGCTAGAGCCATGGGCCATTGGAGGCTGAAGCGGGATTGGTATGAACACCTTGACGATGGATTACGATGTCACGTATGAACACACATCTGCATACTTCCACGTCCCAAGGACGCGCGCTTTGTAGTCCAGGTAAACGCCACTTCCCATTAGCTTTCCTGTCAATCCAGACGACAGCGGACAAGATAGCCCTGGGCTGCACGGCAGAGTTTAGTCTGGCAGACAGTGCTGTCCACTCAGACCATCAACACTGCCCACCGTCTATTCTTCAATCGCGGAAATGCATCGCTGCAATCATTCTGACGAGCTATTCTGTGCACATTTAGAACCTTCGAACCAGGAGCAGTCCGCGGCTTCGGCGTTTTAAAATAGACTGCGTGCTGTGATGGAAATTGAAAGCGCAATTTCGCTTTCAGTTTGGTCGGCGTTGGTGCTGTGGCGGGAAAGATCGGGCACGCTTCAGTGTGATCACACTGTGAAACTGAGTCGGCTGAACCGGAGCCAGCGACACGACGGAGAACTTTCGGAACCAGGCGCGGTACGAACGCCGGGCTTCGACTCCAGCATCGGGTAGCAGTGGGCAATGTAACCATATATTTACCGCAATTAAACTTATGCGGAATTGGTGGTGTTCAGTTCGGTTAGTTTCGTGGCGCAATTGCTCTCGGACGTGTTTTCTCAAAGACCGCAGAACGGTTTTCAGTCTTCCCTGAGCTGCTGACGTGATGTTTTTCACAAATGTGGATAGCTGAAATGATATCCATCCGCTGACATGTTTGACTATAGTTGTTCAAGAAGTTGGGATCTTGCAGATTGGATGGTTTTCCTCGGAGGACATCAGTCGACAAACTGTCATAGTGGATTCCCACTGAAGACATCCTATAAGAATATACGAGCGGAGAAGTCCAGCAGCCACCCATAAATGTTACAGATTGGCTAGAGGGGTCACTTTGACTTGCATACCCTTGGCGCAGCGGGGATGGTGCCGAGGGCTGAGAAAAGAGAATGACATCCAAAAGTGTGTTCAACAGCAGGCCGGTCGTTGCTCCCATACCCACTTAACGGGACAGGACTAACATTCCAAAGCATGCAGAGCAAGTAAGCGTGGTACAACCAACTGGTCATGTTCGAATGTCTTTCACCCATGTAAACACTGAGCTAGTCAGCCCAAAAGGGCTCGCTGGTAGAAACGCCTGTCTGTAAAAAGGACACGAACACATACAGAAGTGAGCAAACAGCAGTGTACTCACCCTAGCGTAGTCATTGTGACGATGGTATACCAGAACGATGCCGGGATGGACGTGAACGTTGATCCCTTCACCTTCTTCTCCGCATAGAACATTACCGTGGCGAAAATGATAATGGCCATGGCTAGTGAGAAAACGAGGAACCCGAGCTCTTTGGCGCAGGATTTGAGGGTGTACCCAAGGATGCGGAGGCCCTGGGAATGTCGCGAGAACTTGAAGATCCGACAGACGCGGAACACCCGCAGCGTGACGAATGCGCCCGATACGTCGTCGTTGTCCGTGATGCCCAGGCCGATGTAGTACGGCAGAATGGCCACCACATCGATGATGCTCATCACGCTGCGCACAAACTTGCAGCGGTCGGGCGCAGCGAACAACCTCAGCAAATACTCGGCGGTGAAGATCATCACGCACGCCGTGTCCAGGCAGAAGAACACCACCTCGTACCGCTCGCCGCAAGGCAACGGCTCCTTCTTGCCCGGTAGGTTCCCGCACTCGACCGTTTCCACCACGTTGGCCAGCACTGACACGGCGATGAAGAACCCCGTGACGTAATAAAAAACGAGCGCCGCTGTCGACGTGTGCGGGTTCTCGAACGCGCGCCACATCTTTTCGCGCAGGTTGGTCAGCTTGACGAGGTTACCCTCGCCGTTCTCGGACATCTTGTCGTCCAGCAGGCGCTCGGCGTTCTCGCGCTTGCGGTCGCGGTAGTCCTCATAGCAACAGTCACCGATCACGTCCGGGATGATGCCGAAGAACGAGAGCTCCTCGTCGTAGCTCGTCAAGCACTCGTGCTTCGGGTAGTGAAGCTTACCAGTCCGGTAATAGTTAAGGATGTGCCGGAAGATGTCCGGGTCTCGGTCGAAGAAGTACTCCTTCGTGTCCTCGTCGTAGAAGAAGTCGCGCTCGTTAGAACCGAGCAGCGTATCGGGGTACTTCTCCACCGTGTTACGCCATGTCTCGAACCGTCGGCCCGACACGTTGATGACGAGCTTCTCGTCGTCCGCGCGCCGCTTGTCCTTGGGGATGGGCGGCGCCGGCAACGGGTTGTTGGCGATCGGGACCCACCCTATGGCCGCCGCGCGCGCGAACGGCAGCCACGCCGCCACCGAAGCCATCGTGCTCGCCTAGCTCGACCACCGTGTCGCAACGCGCGTCGCCCGCCTACATGTTCGCGCGCAGCCCTCACACCGCCGCCGCCGAGGCGCGCTCGCCTGCCGCGCCGAACGGTCGCCTAATACTGCCGGCGCGCGCCGCGCCGGCGCGCCGACGCCGACGCCGACGCCGACGCGCCGTCCGCCGGCCGGTCGGACCGCGCCGACGGCCGTTGCCGCGCCGCACAATTGATTGGTCGCACCGGGCACCCGTATTTGCCTATTCCTCCAGTCGCTCCGGCGACGGTGCCGCGAGCTAGCGCTCCACGTGACAAATCTGCGACGGCCGCGCGGCGCCCGTCCGTCGGGCTCCGGCCGCGTCACCGCGCCGCCACCGTGGCGCACTGGCGGCAGCCGGCGCGCCCAGACCGTGTCGCCACCGCAGGCCGCCACCCAAAATAGCGCCGCCGCCAGAAATACGCGCTCGCCTCACGGGCACTCGTCATGCCGCACAGCAGGTGATCAGCGCTCACGAGACCCAAACGCTCGCTGCGAGTCGCCCGCACGCGCGTCTGTTTATTTGCATCGTCGGGCCGCCGTGCCGCCCGCTGAGCGACCGGCGGCCGCGCCGCGCCGGCCGCCGTCGGCCGCCGCGTCGCGCCGTACAGGTGGCCAGTAGTCACACGCCGCCCTACAAGTGCGGCCGCTTTTTGGGACATGGCTGTGCGCGGCTCGGCGCACAGCGGCCGTTGGTTCGCGGACGTCACCGAGCCGTCGGCTGCGCGATGCGCCGCCCCGTCGCCCGGGCGGCGTGTGAGCCGGACGGGACGGCTCGAGGCGCCCCGGCGCCCTCTGCCGCTCCGCCGCTCTGCCGCCCGCTGGCCGAGGGGGCGGGAGCGACGCCAGATGCGTCACATGCTCCCTCTCTCCCGGCAGAGGGCCGGGCGCTGGGCGCCTGAATGTCGCCGAGACCGCACCGCCTGGGGCCGGAAAGAGCACCGTGGCGGCGCCGACGGGGTGCCAGGAGTTTCCCACCTCTGTACCAACGAAGGGGCTGGGTTGGCTCCTGCGAATGCTCTCTCTCTCTCTCTCTCTCTCTCTCTCTCTCTCTCTCTCTCTCTCTCTCTCTCTCTCTCTCTCTCTCTCTCTCTCTCTCTCTCTCTCTCTCCTCTCTCTCTCTCTCTCTCTCTCTCTCTCTCTCTCTCTCTCTCTCTCTCTCTCTCTCTCTCTCTCTCTCTCTCTCTCTCTCTCTCTCTCTCTCTCTCTCTCTCTCTCTCTCTCTCTCTCTCTCTCTCTCTCTCTCTCTCTCTCTCTCTCTCTCTCTCTCCCTCTCTCTCTCTCTCTCTCTCTCTCTCTCTCTCTCTCCCTCTCTCTCTCTCTCTCTCTCTCTCTCTCTCTCTCTCTCTCTCTCTCTCTCTCTTTCTCTCTCTCTCCCTCTCTCTCTCTCTCTCTCTCTCTCTCTCTCTCTCTCTCCTCTCTCTCTCTCCCCTCTCTCTCCAGTGCCTCGCTGCTAGATGACCCGTGGAGGGCCCCCCATTCGACCTGGCCCTCACTCGGGGCTTGTGTTAATGACCTAACTCGGACGCATGCCCCGATAGGAAGGCAGCGCGCAGATTCGTGCTTATGTGCACGAACAGTAATACTTACGGCAACACTTTTGAGGTTTACAGATCAAAAGATGATCCATGTGACGTAAAACATGAATCGGGTGTAAACCACATGCCAGGTTTACTGTGACGTAGGGAATGCAACATTCTATGATGCTGATCAGCCTAGGCCGCGACAACTTTGAAAGCCAGGATTATACAGCATGCAGGAGACTGAATGGCACGTGCATACTACAGATAACTTCTACGGCATCTATGCATTGTTGTCGTTTCCCAGAATTAAACAGCTTGTATTTTGGAACACAAGTATGCAGCTAGAATGATAGTCTGGACCATGGTCATGAAGACCGACATTACGACATCTGGCCGAAAATGAGCCACAAGAGCCCATTGAGGTTGATCTACATCAGGCTCCGTGCACATCCTCAAAACTAATTTTACCAACTAGCCTGCATAAATTTAGCTGCAAATAAGATCTTTAGGCCGATAGGACTTGTCCAAACGGTTTGGAATGTTGCTAGAGAAGGACTTCTTACAACTTTGTTTGTCAACCCATCCCAATGGTTCAGTTTTTTTTTTACTAAATGACATCTGCCTCTTCATAGCTCTACTATTGATCTGCTATTTATCTACTATTTATATATATATATATATATATATATATATACTATTTATCAACGGATGATTTTTTTCTAAGTATGACTGAATGCCTTAATGAATTGGCTAAGATCTTACATACTAGTGAGGTTAGACTCACAAGCCTGAAGATATTAACAGTTTTTTGGGTTTCCTTCTTAAAAATGGGTACTATATTGGCATTGTGCCAGCCGTCGGGTACTTCTCAGAAACAAGGATGCATCAAATATAAACATGAGAGGATAAGCTACAGCACCAGTGCATTCATTCAACACCACCATGTAATTGATCGGGCCCGGTCGCCTTCCTAACCTTGATTTCCTTCAAGCTCTCCCTTACCACACCCTCAGTCACCGTCAAATCTACAAGACTGCCTTCAATCAGATTTTGGCTTTTCAGGGAGATCACACATAGTCTCCATTGTAAAAACTGCACAAATCTGCCTACTGAGAGCATCTACAACGTCCTTATCCTCCACTGAAGACTTCCCATCTTTCTCGAGGGGGCCGACAGAGAAACTCTTAGATTTGATTTTGTACTAACTAAAAAAAGATCTTTACATCGCTAGAACAACTGTCTGCTAGCCTTACTTCTGACAATCTTTTAGCTGCTCTGATTTCCTGCCTAAGCTTTTCTATTGCAACATCACGCACAGCGTTGTTGTTTTCTGTGTCCTGCACGTTTTGCATATGAGATGCCTCCTTCTTCACCGCCATCAATTTGCGCAATGTCTGTGTCAGACATGGGGGCTTCCCAGAACTATCTTCTCGCATTTTCCTAAAGGCGATGAACCTTTCCTGTCCTTCAAATAAACTATCTTTGAATGCTTTCCTTACTTGATCTACAGTGAGACCGGTTATAATATTTTCCCACTGAATGCTAGCGAGAAAAGCTGTAAGTTTTTAAAATCTACCCTTAACAAAATTCGGAATAAGACTAAGATTGTCCTTACCTGAATAACCCAGACACATTGAGAACCTTACGATATTATAGTTATTATATCCCAGCGTCCCACCCACTCTCCAAGCATCGACCAACTCCTCATTAGTCATAACAAGATCCAAAAAGTAATGTCCCGTAGTGGGTTCGTACACCATCTGCTGAAGAAAATTTTCTTCAAAACAAGCGAAGATATTTTTGTCACAATTTGACAATTGGTCAAAATATACACCCCAGCCTGGGATGTTGAGACCTCCCAGCACTACACACTTGCATTCACGCCTCTGTCAGTTCCTCCATATATTTCTGTGTACAGATCTTGCAAACCATTCGGGGACCTATAAAAAGTTCCAGTTTGTAACTTATCCTTCGACACAACCGAATCCACCCAGAGGAATTCTTAACTATTGCCGTTCTTCATGCTTTCTTCAATTTCACTTTATTTTCTGCCTTACGTATTCTAATATCTCACCTCCTTTTTTCGCTTTTCCGTGAAAAGTTAACATACTGCAATCAGATACTTTAAATTCATATAAACTGCCACTTAAAAGCTGCTCACTGATCCAACATTCAATAAAAGGTACCAGGTCAAATTTGTTTTCAAGCACGTGAGCATGGAGCTCGCCAAAACATTTTTCTGACGCTTCTTGCATTTGCATAGAAGCACGCGAGTTTTCCTACACTCCTTTTTGGCTCATTGTTCAGCAATTTTGAATTATCATTATTTATGTGTTCTAATTTCACCCTCCCAACCCCAGGAGCTAGTTTCCCTGAAGGATACGTTCATACACCCTACAACTGAAAAACCTATTTCACGCGTCTACAAGCGTCGCGACCAGCTTTCCGCAAAGTTTTCTTATTCTAGCGTCTGCTGCCAGCGCCCTGGAGCTCCACTCAGGAGGTGCTCCAATCTTGTGAAGAATGCCTGTTACTATCTTCCTACCTTCGCCTTGCTGCAGAGTGGCCAAAAGGGTCCTATAATCCTGAATCACCCCCTCACTACTTGGTGTTCTGTCCCATATTATTGACTCTGGCCTGTGCAATGACTGCATTGGCCTGGTTTTTGCTGATTACTATTATATGATATATACGGCCTTAGTTTGTCTCCATCATATAAGCGTGGAACATCTTTCACCTTTTGAATCACGCCGAATCTGGCAGCTTACAAATCCTTTCATCCGGTGAAATGTCTTTGAAAACAAGCCGCTAAAAACATTACCGCAGACTCTGTAGGCCGTTGTGGAGGGACATAGAGCTGTTGAGGTGTGGTTCTGGACAGCAGTAAGCTATGCAGCACGCTCGATACGAGGGTTGCCGCTTTGAAGACATGCGGCGGTCGCGCGCAGTGAGGGAAAAGTTTCCGGTGCTTTGTTGCGACTGTGCAATCACCAAAACACTTTTAGGGTAGACACACTAACCTTAGAACACCGCAATCACCACTGTGTTTTAACAATGATTTAAAAATCTGGGTTTGTGTGTATATCGCTCATGATATTTCCCCGTTTTTCTTCAATCTGAACGCGTCTGTGAATCCTAATTCATAGGTGAGAAACTGGCGACAGTTCTCGGTACACAATTATTGTCGTGCCCTGTGGCATAGCCAAAGGACGGGGAAGGGGCTTTCGGGCCACACCCGATCACAAAAACGACGGGGTCACCTGGGGACAGGACTTTTTGACGGCTTACGAAGTCCTAAGCGCTTCTTAGACAACAAATGGGATGCTGAGGCTTCAAAATGGGATCCTTGGGCTAAAAAGGACCGTGAATCCAAGGGCACGGTCCCTACAGCGACGAAGAGAGCACCTTGGCTAAAAATGTTCCTCATGTCTCTATGCAACCGCTCCATTCGAAATAGCTTCAACCCAGATACACTTTTGATTCAAAAGGTCACTTTTGTTATAAGGTCAGGCATCTTGTTTCAGCTTCAGACAGTCAATATGCC